CCCCCCCCCCCCATTCTTATGGCCTTCCATAAAGTTGTCAATATCTGGCTTTTCCAGATTTTTGGGGATTGATTGTGGACCCATCAATTCCAGAATTAATATTATATGATTTTGTATTATAATCTTATTATATATATATATTGCCTAGAGACCAAATGAATTGAGGAACTTTATGTATGTATGTATTTATAAATAAATACATAAATAAATAAGCAGATTTCTTTTATAACTTTCCTATACAATTTTAAGAAATGAAGAAATTCATTTCTACCATGACATTATTCTCAAGTTAGAATATAAACTATATTCAGACAGTTGTAAAGGATGCACAAATCATAAAACATGTATGCCAATATTTGCCAGGAACTTTGTGTTGGAGAAAAGGGTTTATATAAGTGCTAAACTATATATGCTCACTTCTCATTTATTCAAAAACTCTGATGGGTCAGTCGAGAAATTTATGAGATGGAATAAAAGCATTATTTTGTGAGACAAAAAGAAATATAAATAAAAACCTGTGACAGAAAAAAAGTGATAGAAGTCCAGGACAAACAATTCCAAAAGATTCTAAATGTAGAAGGATTTAATCCTACACACTGTGATAAAAATGGCAAATTATTCTGAAATGGATGAAAGTCAAACTGGAAACTACCAGGAAAAACTTGTAGACTCTTAGTAGGAAAACCACTCTTTCACAAACAGCAGGACTTAGAAATCCCTCAACAGCATCTGAAGTAAGCTTCAAACACACATAGGCTGTTCTTAGTTTTGACATTCATACCATGAGAAAAACTACAACCTAGCAGAATTGCCCACCTATTGCCCAAAGGACACATGGAAAAACTGTCTGGCATCCTGAGATTAGCCATGAAGTCATTATTGTGGGAGTCCTTATCTACCTTTTTCCCCAAGATTTCTTAGAAATAAATATAGGTAGTGTCAGGGCCATTGGCTTTGACATAGATTCAAATGTTAATGTAACAGTTACTTCAGAAGGAACAGATCAACTTCCTAAGTTGAAGTCTGCTGACATAGCCTAAAGCAGCTCTAGAACTGGGACAATTTACTGTAGATATACAAAAGTAAATGCTTCCATTTTGGAAGGTATGTGATTTAAAAGACCAAAAGCTAATAACTTCTGTAGTGTAGGTGTCTAGATACATACCTTGTAGAAGGATTCTGATGGATTTGAGACATTGGATACTGTTTAATTCTGAAATGAATCATTGTACATCAAATGCAAAAAATAAAATAAAAAATGTTTCAAACAGTCCTAATTCTGTGGAGTCCTTGGGGTTCCCTGAGCTTGGTTCTTTTCTTGCAAACATTACCCGGCTAGGTAACATCTTCAGTGCTAAAATGGGATGGGGTTTGCTCTCTAATTATGTGCTGTGGCCTGCCTTGCCAGTGCAATCTTCTGGTCTTTTGTCTCTTTTGAATAGTATGTAGATGCTCTTAATCTCTATGTGTCTGTTAATTGGTGCCTTGTCTGAATACCAGGCTTCCAAGAATTCTCTTGCATATTTGGATTTAGCTTGATCTAAAATGCTGAGAATTTCCCAGTTAAAACTATAGTTGAGTCTGTCCATGTGTTGTGTCAAAACGAAGAGACAAAAGACCAGAAGATCGCCTCACCAGCAATCAATAACCAACAATCATCACCCAGATAAGCAAAGGTTACCACCAGGCACACAATCAAGCAGCAAACATATGCCAATCAAAGAACTACCAGAGGAGCAAAACAAAACCTCCCCACCCCCACCAGCACTGGCAAGGCAGGCCACAGCACATAGAGAGCAAACTCCATCCCATTTTAATACCGAAGATGTTACCTAGCCGGGTAATGAAACGTATGGAGGAAAAGAACCAAGCTCGGAGAACCCCAAGGACTCCACAGTTCAACCCTAAGCTACACATATTCACCTCTATTCGTCCTAATTCTATTCCATATTACTTGGTTTTGTACATGGCAAAAAAAAATCTATTTAAACATAAACCCCCCCCCCCCCCCAAAAACCCTCTAGGATTAGAGAACTCCATATAATATAAACAAAAACATAATTGACGTTTGATTGATTGACTTTGTGCCATCAAGTCATTGTTGACTCTTAGTGACCAACGCAGTTAACATTTAAGCATATGAAACCTGAAAAACTATTTTTATGCTTTTCAGTTAAGAGAAGAAATTGGAAGATAATAGATTTTTCAATATTTAAAGAATGATGTGTATTTATTTCATTTAAAATTAAGACAATATCTTATATATTATATAAAACTTTTAAGAATCACAGGATTATGGGATGATAATTTTGAACTTCAACATGTTGAATCTTACTGGAATCTTTAGTGCAGAATGCCTTTTAAGCCTTAGTAAGTTAGCAAGAACTGACCTTGAAAATTATTAATAGTTAGCTTTACACTCCAGTAAAACTGTTCTGCATAAACTGTAACCTTCCTAGGATATGTTAAGCAGAGCAGTGCATAATGCCATTTGTATGGCAATGCCCAATTAGTTTTTAATTTTGGTCAAAAGATTTTGAAGAAATTGGGAAAATCTTTCAGCAGACCTTGGCATGAACCCTGCTGTTGATTTTATGTCCATTTTTCTTCAGGCATAGAAATTGATGCATTATAAGACTGACTGAGTTTTTACTGGTGGTAGCAAGGTTTGTTACTTCGAATCATCAGAAAATTGATGTATTTCAAATGGTTTAAAAAGTATGGGAAATAGCTTCATCCCAAATCATTAACACTTCAGTAAAGAGCTTTGAAAGACCATATACTATAATTTAGGATAGACATATTCAAGTTTATATATTTCTTAAGTATATTAACAAACCTGTTCCTAAGTTTATCCTTGTCTGAACAAATGTCATTCTGGGATGAAATATTTACACAGATTCTTCACATTTTCCCTTTAAGATTACATATGTAAGAAAACCAAGTTTATTTTCCTTTGTATTTGCTTCCCTTTCTTGCATTTTTCCCTTCTCCCAAGGTATGATTTTTTAAAAGTTTTTCAAACTTTAGCTTGTTTGTTTAACAAAATGCAATTTCAAAAGATGTTACATTTTGAATAGTCATGCTTATCCTGTTTTGCTGTTCATAAGTAAGTTATTCCAAGAACTAATGGTGGAAAGAAACTGGCATTGTAATTCCAAGAATTTGGAGAAAATCTATGTTAGAATTCAATGCATGAGAGCCTTCAGTGCTTTACAAAATGCAATGAATGGATTAGATAGATCGCTGTGCTGGCCAGGCTTAAAGAAAGACATCAATCATGACACCTTAACTTGGATTTTGCAGGTCAATCTGACCTACATTGTGCAAAAGATGATTCTCACAATATATTTGCCTGCTAAACTCTGGAACAGGGTATTACTTGCATAACAGACAGCATCATTTGGTGAATAGCATAATTATAGAACGCTACACTTTGCAAGTGGATATCACTTTTTATAGAAAAGTTAACTAATGGATTTGTATGTTTTGGAGCTCCTGAATAACTTATGATAGGTAAGGCTTTTCATTTCATTTCATTTCATTTTAAGCTATGGCTTGATGTAGTTGCAGATCAAGCATGATTTTAAACACATTATTTCCAGCCCATCCTACTGGCAAAGGAGAATATGCTGTGTAGATAACTCAGTAGACAAACTTATTCATTTATGACTGCATTGTCAAGAACCTGCTTCATGCTGAGAACTCTTACATGGGCACACTGAATTTATAAAGCAGTCAGCATGTAGTAAGGACTAAGATTGGCAGAAGGAATATAAAGTAACATGTGAGGGACATGTTATTCCAACTACTGCTTTACTTTGGACACTACTCTGTTAATTAGCTTGGCTGCTGTTTTATTGTTTTTAACAAAATACCTGCTATAGTTAAGCATCCAGTTGGACTGGTCTTCTCTGATGTTGAATTCTCATGAATGTACTCTCAGCGGAGCAGATTAATGCCAACTAGAAGCTGCGGCTGGTAGCTTCCTACATTGTCAAGTAGAGTGATTAAATGGAGGCACATAATTTTGTTCACTGCCTATAAGCTTTTGGGCCCTTTCAACTTAGGAAAAAAAAGTTTTTAAAAGTCTGTCAAACAAATAACACCTTACCCAAACATTAAGGTCAGTTGGTGAGCCCTGCTTTTTTCTTGATCTCACTAGTGGGCTCACCAACTCATTCACAACACGGTAGTAGGAACAGAACATTCTCAATAATAGTACCCATTTATGGAACTTGCTCCCAGGAAAAATGTAGCTGATTCCCATACTGTGTTGTTTTAAAAAGGTAATTGCAGGATACTATTCCACAATAGGACTATTCCAAATTATTGTATTCTTATTGTTTGTTTTTTTTTCCTGCTTTGTTTCCATCCTTTTTCTTTAATTGCATATTGTGTTCACTGTTTTTGTATTCTCCTCTGGGTGGCTTCTTAAGTAGAAGTCTTTAAAAGTAAAATATATGAACAAATAATTTAGTTGAAAGTTGCTCAAGAAACCATTCTTGCTTCTTTCTCAGGCTTTTAATTCTGGAAAACTAAAAGATGAAGGAGAAAGGAATAGAAGGAACAAGACAGATTTCTAGTTTTCTTTAGCTCTCAATCTGAGATGCAAGTGTGTCAAATGTTCTTTGTGACAAGTGTTTTGTTTGTTTGTGTTTAGTACATCATCCTGATGATGATTGTTTTTGCCTTTGAAGTGGCCTCCAGCATCACAGCAACCGTGCATCGGGATTTCGTAAGTATTCTGTCAATGAGACATCTGTTCTCTCAGATGTTTTCAGTTCAATACAGAGGTTAAAAGGGGAAGGATTCATTTCTGCAAATATGTTGAAGGTTGGAATAACAATAAAGATGATGGCAGTACGTTCATAAGGTATGAACAAACTTTTAATCCATTCTTAAGATCCAAGGGAAAAGAAATCTTCCTAACCACATCTGTGGACTCCGTAAGGGAATTTATTTGCTTGTTGGCTAGAGTCACTTCATTAGCAAACACATTTGGGCAGTATATTATTTAAAAAATAAAGCCTAATCAGGTATGAATTCCTTATATTTACCCAGTGAAGTAGCCTATCAAAATGTGGGTTTTGTGAGTTGAGTATATGTTAGTGTTATTTAAATTAGTTAGCATGTACTACTAGAAGAAAATATTTAATTGTAACTAATTTTAAACCCTAAGATATGCGTGCTAGATGTTATCAAGGATGTGACTTCTGGCTTTCTGGAGTATTCTCCAAATAGGAACCAACCTCATGTTTCTCCCTCTCATTACCACTTAGCTTACTCATGAACTTTTCTTGAAGCAAATGTTGGAAAAATACCAGAATCCAAACCCAGTCAACAATGATGACAAATGGAAGAGTGACGGTATTACCAGGACATGGAATCGTCTCATGTTGCAGGTGATAGTACTGTATTACCCTGGGACTGCATTCTTTGGTCCCATTTAAAAATATTCCAGAAATATATAGTGCTGTCATATAAATGAATGTGTTTCTCTGGATGACAAGTATATTGTATCTACAGTTCAATAATGAAATGCAAAAAGCTTTGGATTCTTTAACATTTTGGCTGATATTTTTGTGAAACGCTAAGAAGCGTTTTAAGTAAATCTTTACTTTTGCTATTGTATGTAACCCTTCATTATCATACTCTTTGAGGATGAGAACTGTCATCTCAACTTTTTTCAATGGGCAGAATCTCAAACAACTATACAAAGCTATTTAATTTAACCTCCCTGTGGCAATTCCTTCATTCATACATTAAAACTGAATGCTGTTGCTTGACATCTAGACCCTTTCTGGATGTAAATGGGGAAAAAAAAGTGATACTGTATACAGGGGTGCAGAACCTGAGGCCTCAGGACCACAGGACTCCAAAAGCCTCCGGGGAGCCCCAGAGACTTCAAAAAGTTGTAGTAAAAAAAGATTAGAGAGTAACATGCTTGCTATATTTAATTTTAATTAAGTGTAAATCTTGAAGTAATATCAAATAAAAATTAGTATTGGTGCCACCTTGTAGTTTGGGAGTGAGTCTCCCAGAAAGTCACTTTAGGGCTAAATGTGGAATTTGGTTCAGAAAAAGTTGTACCTCTTTCAGTAGTGTGAAAATGATTGTGACATTGTTAGCATGAAAGTCTGAGGAACTCTGGAAAGCAGGTGGGGGAGAAGTTCAGTCTGTGTGAGAAGAGGCAGCACAGGCCAGATGTGCGGATCAAAGAGACTCTGGCTTAATTGGTTTACTACCTGAAAGTTACTCTTACAGTTTTCAAGGTTGTGTTTTTACTCCAGCTAGCATTTAAGATAGCTTTCTGAAAGTTGTATGGTTTTTGCTTCTTGAGTTTGACAACTATGTGGAGTTTAAAAGAAAGCAGCTATAATCTGATCACACATTACTCAAACTGAACTAAAGGTTCATTTACCAGGGATCACACATAGGACTAGAAGTGGCTTGGAGTATATCACTACTTAAGATTTCTGATGAACTTAAACCTTCACTTGTCTTTTTGCTTAGAGCTTTGGAGACTAGCAAACATGCTCTTCAGGCATTCAAATGTTGTAAACCTGGCCAGTGGATTAAAAAAAAACAAACATTCTGATTCTGTCCTCGACCTTCCCGGGTTCATAGAGAAACTCTGAAGGGGAACTATAACTACGTTAGGTAGAATGTGGTTACAGTGCACACAGAATAAAGAGTCCTGACCTCAGGGAGTACTGTCAAATACAGTTACAGTAGTTCAAGGACTATGTATATAGGTTTGGATTTCTTTTGTTCTATGCCAGTGTTGTCCAAACTTGGCCACTTTAAGATGAGTGGACTTCAACTCCCAGAATTCCCCAG